CAGCAGGAGACACAGCTCCTAAGATGCCTTGCCAGCTACAGTGCGCGTTTTGCAATGGTTGCTCAACCACAACGCACGTGGGGCGAGGGCGCAGGAGGGGCAGCTCAGAGTCAGCTCCTACCTAAATGGGATTTATTTTAGATACATTTAACACAGCGGATTTCTCATCCCAACTGCCACTGCAGGGAAAGGAGAAAGGATGGGAGAGCTGAAGGGAGAAGGGAAGGGCTGGTTTCAAAGCAGTTACAGGCAGCTTGGACAAGTGATGCAGTACACATTGCTGGATCAGTGGTTGTCCTAATGCTGTGGGGAAACTTGGCAGCTCTGCTACCGCTGTGGGCTGTTGAGACAAAGCCAGTGTGGAAACTTCACATAAAAAAAAAAAAAAGAGAGAGAGAAAGAAAAAGCAAAAAAACCCCCAAAAACCCCAAAAACCAAAAAAAAAGGCCAAATGCATTATGACAGACCCAAAGACAATAACCTTTTGTAATCCAAACAAGCTGGGCAAGCCAAGCTATTGTTGAGAATCTGAAAAGGGTAAAAACAAAGAAAAAAATAATCATACAGCTTCTAACAGAAAACACAGAAAGTACCCTGAATTTTAAAATAAAACAGTTCATGTTCCTGAGGCAACATCAGAGCAGAGTTTTACACCCTCTCACTAAAGGATTCAGTAATAAGTGCAAGAGTGGATGTTTTTTCCTAGCATCACCTGCACCTCTGTACACGCATGTGCAGATGTCAACACGCAGTGAAGTCACTGACCAGAAACAGGTTCGGACAGTTGATCTTCTGCATTGTAAGTGGCAAAGGTTTGGCAGTGTTTTAGTGTAGCAAGCTCTGGCTGGCCAAAACTCCATCTAACGTTTTCTAGAAAAGGAATACATATGCTAATTTATACTCCATGATAGATATTGTCCTTAGAAGTAAATGCAGAACAGACATGACCTTGGCTACTGTGCCCTGATACATCAGTTAAATCTAGAAATTCGAATGGGAAGAAAATAGAAGCAAAACCCTTGAAGAGGAAAATGACCACTGTGAAACACCAGCCATCGCAAACCATCACCTCTGACAGCCCACCAAGCTGGAAGTCTAACGTCTTGTCCACAGCCTCAACCATTAAAATTGACTCAGACTTTTGGATAAATAGAAACAGATTGCTTCTCCTCTGCTTAGGAGATCACTGCACACAATTTGATGGAAAACAAGACTCCCTGGGGCAAACACCCTGCAAAAAGAAATGGACCCTTATTTAGAAGTGCTCTGATTTAGATAAATGTATGGTGATAGAGCAATTCCCTCACCATTTTATTGTCCTGAGGCAAACAAAGAGGTAACTGATGCACTAGCTGTGGGATATGAAGCAGTTAAAAGATTCCAATTCTCTTATTCAGGACAAAAACGCAGCCCCCATTTTCCACTTCAAGCCAGAAGTCAAAAGGAGCAGCAGAGGGAGGTAGCCTCATCACAATCTCCACATGCTTTTGTTTGGCACAGGCCACCCCTTTCTGGGACAACACTGAGGTTGTTTTTTGAAATTGTTGAATTTTCAAGTCACACTTTAAGTATTTATTCCCGATTAACTGCTTATAGCTAGGCATATTTGTGCAAAACTGGTGGTAATTTTTACATTATTACCATATTAGAATCTGTAACTGGATCAACATGTGTCCCACTCTTCAGGAAATTCAGAAAAATCAACAGGAAAATCAACTCTCTTCTCTGCCCTGCCATATGCTAGAGTTAACAGAGTTCACACACCAGTACTGAAAAACAATACATTGAATCAAATCTGCCATCCTTTTAGACTTACCCAAGCTCTTCTAACTTACTCATTATTCTATATTTAAAATTTGCATTCCTTTTTATTTATCTTTATTCTAATGCCAACCAGTATTAGCTATGCAATAACCATTTTGAATAAGGTGAAGTTCTATGCACAGATTCACAAATGAGGTACAAACTGTCATACAGAATCACTTCTTGTTTAATTTTTAACCATTCCAACCCTGTATGCATCCCAGCATCCTGCTGTGATTTTGACTGGAAAAATTGCAAGTAAACAGAACTTCCACTGAGCTTTTTGACACGGCTGTCAAGTTTATTTGGAACGTTTAGTGTGCAAAATAGTTATTTTTTCCTCTTCCTGCTTTACTTGGTATTTATCACCACCAAATTTGATCACTCTGATGCCCATGCCCACTGCCAATGCTGCAACTTCAACCATTCTAACCTCATTTCTTTTCCAGACCGCTAACCAACGAGGGAAATGCAAAACAACTCCCAGGAACCTGGAGAAACCCTCTTCGCCTTCCAACTATAGTGAAAGAATTCTGCTCTTACTTTCCTCTCAGGAAGTTCTTGGCCCATGATACCTCCGTAGCTCTCCCCAAAATTAGAGGGGGTTTTGGTGTTGGTTTTTTTTTTGAGGGTGGTGGGTGGGATGTTGGTTTTTTTCCCAATAGCATCTCACATCTTGAAAAAGAGCTTTTGGAAGCCTACATGAAGCCATTCTTTACTGATGCCTTCAGAGACATCCGGGAGTTTAATAAGAAAATTCCCTTTGCAGAAACTGGGACAGTATCTAATGATCTTCCAAATGTTTTACTGTGTAAGTCCTCAGTTGATCCAATGTTCTCATTCTGTTCCTATTCTTTTGTTCATGCCTGTAGCCTTTTTAAAATGTGAAGTCATCGTTCTCAGAATGAGACTGCATATTTCTACTAGCAGCTGTTCAGGATGATGGACAATGACTGTTATTCCCAGATTAACTTTTTCTGCACAAACACTCCAGATTAATATTAAACTTAGGTCATTATTCTGACATTAAAACATCATTATGTTCATGGTCTATAAAGTATGGGACAAATCAGAAGCATATGGAGTTGTAGTTGCATGTGAGCATCCAAGTTTCCAAACCTACAAGAATTCAGGCTTTTTAACCCCCTCCTTTCTTTTCCATCCTGAAAGGATATTTGCTAAGGACGCTAAAACACAGAGTGGAAGTGAAGACCATTTGCATATATAGGGCCTTTGCCTTTACAGGTCACACACAGAGCACACAACAGCAAGGATTAGGGCTTCTCTAAATGAGTAGGAGTCACTTGAGAAGAAGCCTCTTGACCTTACACAAAACAATGAAGACATTTAGCCAGAGACAAAAACCTCATCGTTCTTCCTGTCTTCGCTTCATTAAGTCAATGCTGTTCATCCAAGCCTTTTCATTTTAGGCTGGCTATGACTTTTATTCAGATAGGCCCATCTCTAAAACAACTCCTCAAGGGTTACCCAAATCAGAGGTCAGCTGCACTGGAGCATGGAAGGTAGCTCTTCCCTTCTGCAAGCATTCCTCGGCTTGCAAAAGCATGATGGCCCAGTGATCGAGATTCTATAAAAAGCTCCTTCCAAGACAGGAAAGTCGTTTAGCTTTCAGGAAGATCCCCTGGTATGTCTTCCCCTTTATGTGTTTGCTCTGCTTTGAGTGCTCACACATTGAAACAAACCAACGTCCTTGCTCTGGAGGGAGGTCAACTTATTTAAAACATTAACTTCTAAAAGAAAAATACATCTCAAGGAAGGAGATACCTTTTCCTTTAGTATGCAGGTGTACACCTCCATGTTTGATGCAGTTTACACTAATCAAAGACATGTACAAAGCAGGCATTGACTGGGGAGAAGGTTGACCCCATGCTGAGAAGGACACATTCTTACCAGCCAGTCATGTTGAAGTCACGATAGAGCATCCTCTTCCCAACTTCCTTGCGCTGCACTCGCCGTGGAAACTCTAAATGCGTGAACTCATTTCCCAGCAAGTGGGGCTGCATGTAAGCCTGTGGGCAGAAACCAAGCCACAGATACCACACAAACATCATAAAACAAGACATCATCTATTTTTAATAAAGAGGTAGAATTAGCATCCCTTCCTGCTCCCTTCCCACACACATTTCCCCTGACACCCCCTTTTTAAACAACAAAGACTATGAGCTCCATTTCAGCAAACAATGTGCACACACACCAGTTCTGATGCTGCTTGGTGTCTGGCAGCAGCCTTACAGCGGGCAGTCCTCTTGCCCTCAAAATCCTTCACTACTTCTCACTGCTCCTCAACATTTGGGATCTCTAAAGTACACCTCATCCACTGACCCTGAAGGAGTCAGCAGCGCTTCATAAAACAGAACACATCTCCTTTTGTAAGTCAGCGACCTAAAAGAAGGGAACGATCAAAGGACAAAGCCATGGAGCAAGCAGAGACTTGGAGGGGTGCACGTGGAGCAAAGCTCAAGCTTTTTGACTCCCAGTTCAGCTAGGCCAACACCACATACAACCTAACATTACTACCACACTTTAATTTTCACTCTTGAGAAAAATGTTCCTTTTTACCTTCTTAGCGTGCTGCACCCCATCACACGAGACACTGCAAATAAACATGAGTTGCAGAGCACTTTATTTTCTTGTTTTCTAAAAAATACTTCCTTTGTACAGAATAGACTTTAAGAAAAGCGGTAGTTTTGTGTCACAACCGAAACTAATGTTTTTGATGGTGTTAACGTTTGACTGCTGCTACCCCTTCTGGTGTTGCTGCTCTGCAGATGCTGGGAGGCCTCTTGGCTACAGCTGTGCCTGAGACTCATGTGCTCCAGAGTTGACTGTACTCGAGAGCATCGTGAGGCTCTTCGTCCAGCACACAAAGTTTTGGTTTGGATTTACACACAGATCACCTGCAATGATAGGTTAATCCTTAAACATACTGTATTTCTTCTTTCTGAAATAAACCTCATTCATTTTTCTTTAATATTTACATAAATAAGCCTTTCTCCTCCCTCCCCAAAGCCACATTGTTACAAGCACTTCTGAAGACACAGTCAAATTGGCTAGGGAACTGAAAAAAAGTTGCGTTTCTTAACCTTTCTGCTGATAACTCTTTTTCCTTATCCAACCAGTTAAGGTAATAAAGTCTGTCTTATCTCCAGCAGCAGCTGCCATCAGGGCAGACCAAATGAGCTGGCTTTAGTTTGTGGGTTTGTCATAAATCTAGCGTTCATCAAAGGTGAGCGGCAGGAAGCCATGGAAGCCCTTATTGATCTACCTGGCAGCTATCATGCAGATAGCTCACAATAAAATATTTCCTGCATTTAAGGGCTGAGCTGCTCCCACTCAATTTAATAGGAGTTGGATCAGGCTCAGCACATCACAGCGCCAACCTTCCATCAGCTTGTCCCCATTCCCGTCGCCAGACATCCTTCCAGAAAACACCTTGAGCTTGGCCGAAATGGGGCTGAGGGAGATTGCTGTGTGTAGCTGAGATTGGATTCTGCTTTCAAAAGGCAGCTTTCAAGCACACAAGTGTGATCTTGACATTGTGATCCCTTCCTGGAACAGCAGCTCCATCAAATTCTCTCTCCGTGTACAGTTAAGGGAATTACATTTTTTTCCTGCAGTCTACAGTCAGCCAAGGTTCCCCCCCAGTATTGTTTTCAAGGACCCTCTAATTGGATCACTGTTCCTCATTACAGAAACGGTCGAGAAGCACTAGTGACTGTTGAGAGGTCTAGTAGTGTTAGTCCAGTTGATGCTTTCCGTACTTCCAGAGCTCTGGTTTCTTTATTTCACAGTATATGTACACTTTTTATTTATTTTTTATTCCAGTCACAAAAAAGATGGAACATGCCTAATGATTTATTTGATGTATTGCTACACATTGACAGCAGAGTGCTGGACTTTTTTTGGTGGTTTTAAATTCTTTCTAGTCTGTGATATGGTAAACAATTAAGTCAGTCTGCTTTGAAAGCACAATTCAGTTCACTTAAAAATGCACCGCCTACCTTGATTAAATCTTTACAAACCATTTCTAGCTAAAGACTACTGCTGCCTGCCTACAAAACAAGAAGCCTTATTTAAAGCAAAAAAACCTCATACCTGATATCAAAATGAAGTTATTTAACCTTTAGATTATGAGATTACTTATTAGGCTGGATCATAGGTCCAAAAGAAAAAAGTTACAGGCTTTTAGCATTTTTCCCCTTGAAAACAAGAATTTTCTTTATTGAAAAGGTAAAGTGATAGGGACAGACTGCATTTCATAAAGATTTACTCAGATGGAAAGTCTGAGGTCACAAGTGAAATAAGATTAATAAAGCTGGCAGAGTTAGCAGTGGACTGCTAATGTTCAAATAAGATTTCTCTTCTGCAGCCAAGCCTCAATGCTTGATTTACAATCCAGGGATCTTAACTTGATTCTAATATTTTTCGCGTCAGTGGAACAGAGGGAAAAGAGCAATTTGGAACCTTCTGGTGCCTATGAACTGAATTCTTATGTGAAGAAATGGGGATTTTTGTTGGGTTTTTTTTGTTTGTTTGTTTGTTTTTTGTATTTTCTGTATTTTTTATCCTTTTCTTTTTAACAGTCATTTTTGATGCTTCACTGGTAATTATACAGAGAGAAGAATATTCTACTATAAAACTCAACTGCAACTTCCAGTCAGGTTTGTCGAGAACTGTTCTCCATTTTCTACGAGGCAGGACTCTTCTCCCTCTCCACCCTAATCAAACTGTGCTGGGCAGCAGAACCAGGAAAAAAATAAAAAGCAATGCTTTAAAAATCTACAGATCTGTCAAGTAGATATACAAGCAGACACCATGAAATCCCCTCATGATCAAAGGAGAAACAAAAATGGCGAGTGAACTGACTATCAGAATTTCATCTATGATGAGGCACCGCATTTTCCATTTTTTCATTTGTTTAGTCTCAATTTGCAAGAACCTCAGATGAGAAACACCGTTCAGAAAACTGAAATTTAATAAAAAGATTGACTATCAAACACTTTCTATATTCTTACAAGGTATGTTCAGACAACATTGTTATTCTGTGTTATGGAACTGGAATATTTTCCGTATTTTTTTCTTTCAGAAGCTATTAGTTTTTTGGCATAAATCTGGCATAGTCTGCATCATGTGTTTTTGGTATTCTGCCATTTTATGGCATATTTTGTGGCTGGATGTATTACATTCAACATTAGTTGTTTAAAATGAAGTCTGCTTAAGGAAATATTAGTCACGTCTCTTTCAAAAGGCCATTTACTTCCTGCTGTGTTTCCTGGTGATCAGCAAAGCAAACGTGAAATGAAGATAAACCGAGACTTACACACTAGTATGTCAGTTAATTACGTGGCAGGGAACACTGCATATATCTTACTGTACCTCGGTAAAGCCTGCTGATGCCTTTTCCAGCTCCTCCAGTACGCACTGCTCCAGGACATCACCAGCACTAGCGGTTTCACTGTATTCTGTGCTATTTTCAGAACTGCCATTTTCCTCTATGTCAACTATATCTTACAACTTTATCCTCTTACCGTATTGTGCCATTTTCTCCAATATTCTACTACATGGGACTTCCGCTCACAATAGCATGCACAGCACAATGCATCCAGAAGTTTTGCAAATTACTCAGCTATGTCATATGGACACATTTAAGCCAAACAGATTAAAACTAAAAGAGGTAGTGGTAGAAGGAAAGAGGGAAGTGGGAGCCAAATTCATCCCTGGATTGGTCTCTCCTCTTATGAACGGCCAGGACCCTGTCCATAAAACCACACATCTCTCTCACCACAACATCATGCAATGTGTCAGATGGCCAAAGCAATCTGACACTGGGTGATGCAGGGAGCCACAAACTGTAAAAGAATTAAGATACATCTGACTTATAATTGAAGCACTGAATTTAGGAGATTTAGGTTCATCTCCTCTTCAGGCTTGGGTTACTCAAGCATCTTCTAGCAGATAAGTTAGTATCACTTAATTCTCACCTGAACAATGAAATAAGAATAGGTCCTCTTTGAACCCATGCCTGTCGGGGCTCATGAACCTTTGCTTGAATGGTGCCACACACAAAGAGCATCCATGGCTCACTGCCACTGATGGCCACCCAAGTCTCTACCAGCAGTAAAGCCTGCCCTGGTAGTAGCAGTGCACCATCACTGGCCTGAGATGTGAACTTCTGGGGCACTGCCTGGCTACACGCGCGGACATGGTATGCAGTAGCACGACGCTGACTTCACATGACATCTCAAAGTGCAACTTTGATAACTAATAGAAATACACCCATTTGCAATATGCTCATTCATCATTCATTTTAAACACGTTTTCCAAGGCAATAAGTAACAAAATCTGTGCCATTTACTGTTGCAATTTAGACTATCATGACTGAAATTAATAGTCTCCTCAGAAGATGAAAGGAAAATTGCCTCTGGCAGTTGTTGCCCGCGCAACTGCTGAATGTACCAGAGAAGTTCCCAGTCAATACCGGATTTTGTTCTCCTCAAGGTACACTGATAGGGGAAGCCAGGGCTTTCCTGGAGTAGCAGCTGTGCAAGCTCTCCTGCCACAGTGCTAAAAAGAAAAGACAAGACACAAGAATTCAAAAGAAAAGGAGGCTTGTGAACTTCTGCCAGTGGAAGGGAAGCCATATGATGCACTGAACCTCTACAGAAGCCAAAGGACCAAGGGAATACTGGTGCAAGGCTTTCATGCCTTCCATCTTAAGTGCTCTCTGACAACAGGATTGATTGCCTTCTGCAATACTCTCACAAGTCTCCTGACAGAGAATTCTGCCTCTGCCATACAGCCTGCCTGAAATTTGCAGTTGTATGCTGTCCTCCCACTGCAAAAAAAGGGAGTGCAGGTGGACACGGAGGGATGGCTATGCCCAGAGCTGTTCAAAAGTCAGAATGATTGGGTAGTCAACTTGTTCTTTTGAAGTTGCCACGCCAGAGGCCTATGCCCAAGGCCATTCTTGCATACGTGGCAATAAACCTTCATTAAAATGGGAGCTTGATAAGGAAAACAGTTGTTTCTCCTCTCTCTTAGTTACTCAACCAGTACTAGCTGAAGCACAGTTTTGTCTAAGACTAGGCTGGAAATTAGGAAAATGCACATGGAAGTTAGGGCCCAGAAAAGACGATGCGGATCCAGATGATGCCAGTTAACCTAAACCGACATCCTGTGTGGCCAAAGCAGGCCACAGGCCACAACCAACAGGCACTAAAGGCAGAGGAAGGTTCTTTCACCCTCACTGTGCTAACAGTGTCTCCTGCACCAGGAGCCAACGCTCAGCAGCCTGAAGGCTGTAAATCCACACTCTCCCTTTGCCTGTGCAGTAACTTCCCTACAGTGAACAGTATCTCTGCATTTACCAATGTGTTGGTTTTGGCTGGGATAGCTAGTATGGGGCTGTGTGTTGGATTTGTGCTGGAAACAGTGTTGATAATATGGGGATGTTTCCGCTATTGCTGAGCAGTGCTTACTCAGACTCAAGGCCTTTTCTGCTTCACACCCTGCCCCACCAGTGGGTTGGCTGGGGATGCACAAGAAGTTGGGAGCGGACACAACTGGGACAGCTGACCCCAACTGACCAAAGGGATATTCCGTACTGTAAGACGTCATGCTCAGCATATAAAGCTGAGGGAAGAAGAAGGAAGGCGGGGACGTTCAGCGTTATGGTGTTTGTCTTCCCAAGTAACTGTTACGCATGGTGGAGCCCTGCTCTCCTGGAGATGGCCGAACACCTGCCTGCTGATGGGAAGTGCTGAACGAATTCCATTTTTTGCTTTGCTTGCGTGTGCAGCTTTTGCTTTACCTATTAAACTGTCTTTATCTCAACCCACTTTTTTTCTCACTTTTACCCATCCAATTCTCTCCCTCATCCCACCAGGGGGGAGTGAGCAGTTGGGTGTTGCTTAGTTGCCGTCTGGAGTTAAATCATGACAACCAAGTAAAATATTAATGCTAAAACGATTAAGTGATTTGCATCCTATTGTGCAGGAAAAGCAGTACAACATGTTTGAAACAAAGAAACTCAGCTTTAACTGCATATAAATCTAAAGTAAGTAACTTTCAGATACGAAGAGCCGAAGAGAGATGTTGATGGTACAACAGACTGATAGAACCTGGGGAAAGCCAAGGTGAGTAAGAAGAATTATTTGGGATCTAATCAGCAAGACAGATGCAACCTTTGGAGTATAATGTTTATGCCAACCTTGTAAGAAATTTTGGGTAGTCTTTTTTTTTAAACGCTAGAGTAAAAATGTTACTTATGGAATGTTATGTTTGAAATTATCTCTAATTTTGTTTCATGCTCTTGCTGTCTCTCATGTGTTTTCTTTGAACATGATACCCATAGCGCCGCATATTTGTTACATATAGAATTAAAATAAACTAACAAAGGTAAAGGAATTTTCCAAAGGAAAAGCAGAAATGCTTTTCAGATCAGCTGCTGTTTTCAAATAGAAGCCAGAAAGGACATCAAAAGAGAAAAAAAATCCCTTGTAGGCAATGCTTTATCTCGTATTTCCTACAGAAGTAGCAGACTCCCTAGACACTAAAGATACCTTTTATTTTAAAGGCAAACTATTTTAAACGTAACTGAACTGTAAATATTTATTAGGCCTCTTTTCCACTTGGTTCTCTGAATATGAATACTCCCAAAATAGTCTTTCCTCTGAAATTCTCAGCTTCAAGCCAGTGAATCTGACTAAAAATCAAACGTGGCAATTGCAGAAACATTTAGAATTTTTCTTTAAAACTTTCCACCCCCACCTTCAACAACCAGCATTTTGCCTAGTTTCAAACCACAGTGCTTGGGCCAGGCTGAAGATAGGAGACACCTTAAGACCAGGGAACACCACTAGCCTTGGCCTGTCCACCTCGCATCAGGCAAATCTGACAGTGAGCCTGCCTTGGCTTAAGCTTAGATTTCTGAGAGTAAAAAGCAGGAGGCCAGAAGAAGCACAAAAAAAATCTCTCAGCCACGTTAGGAATGATGTTTTGACAAACAGCCAACCAACCAATCTGACCATTGACAAAAAACCTTAAAAAGTAACAAGATTGTTTGCACAAAAAATAACACCATACATTTTGACTTATGTTTCTTGGGCAGTTTATCAGCCAACGCAACTGGTGTATAAAGCATCCCACATCTCCTTCAGCTAGTCACCCTGCCCCAGCTTTATGGGTGCTGCTACACTAAATAAAACTAGTCTTTTGTCACCCATCCTATCCTACAGCTACTAATGCTCACTGAGATCATCTCTAAGTTGTGTATCTTTTCCCTGATCAAGATACTATTGGCAAATAGAATAAAACCCTGCAATATTGCTCAGATGCACACCAAGAGCAGTCTATGGTATTTTATACTGTCACGCAGCAAATACTGGGATGGACTGAAATACCTCTATGGATTGTTAGCTCTGCATCTGAGCTCTCATTATCCAACATGAACAAACTGCTGAAGGTCTGCAGCTGAACAAGGTCCACAAGCACAGCCATGCTAATCGATGGCCTTCACCAAAGAGGTAAAACCCCTTTCACTGGGATTTGCACCACCAGGCTTTTCTCCACTTTTGCTGATGGCTAAAAGACATACATGCTCATGATTCAGGGGGCACGTGATCCTTCACTGAGACACAGTAACTCAGTGACATGTGTCTGAACCTTAGATATTACCGGGCAATGCTTGCCACCAACAGCACCTGATTTGGTCCTCAGGTCTCTTACCAGATACTGAAGTCGCTGGCGTTCGGTCTCTGGAGTGAATTCTGAAGACATTGGAATGACTTTGCCATTTCGGATTATTATAGCCCTGTAATAGTAACAAAACATCATCAGTACAGAAAAAAAGAAGTAGTAAAAAATACCCAGAAAATCACAAGGTACAGTCACACTCCTAGTCTCTTCAGAGTCACAGTAAAATAAAGCCATTTCTTTTCCACTGAAGCTGTCAGCAGAACAGGATAATAATTCCTGCCCTGAGTCCTTTAGGCTGGGTAACAAAGTATATTTGTATATGCCAAGTTCATTTCAGAGCTCACAAAAACATCCAAGCAACAAAGGCAAGAGTTATTTCAGTTGATGTCTACAGGGTATCCTTATTAAGTGAAATGCAGACACCCAGAGGAAATGCTGCAGAATCACTGATTGTAGAACAACTCTTCGCAGGTTTTAATCCCAGTTGTGGCTGACAATGTCTAAACTGCTGGCTTCAAATGACTCATGCAAGCACTTTCCAATTATTGATTGGTCGTATGTCATGTCAGAACATTTCTACTCCAACAGCAAATGGAAATGGCAAAGCAAATCCTGTTTAACACAGATTTAACTAGTTATCTACTGAAAGATGATGGGTAAAGGCAAGACTATAGATCAGCCAGGAGATTTCACATACGCTTCTGCAAACGGCAGAGAAGAAATTCTCCCAAACACCTGCCTGTTGCACCTTAACAATCTGCTATGCTGCACACAAAATGTGGTATGATTCTGCCATGGTGTAATGCCACCGGCTGAAACACAGTCACAAGAGGTAAGAATTTACCCAGTATTGCTACCGCATTTTGTGGTCATGCACTCACTCATAGAACTACGTTATCTTTCCATTATTTACGCAGCTCTGTATGGTATAGTAAGTGTAGTAATAGTTGGCACTTTCAAAGAGCCGGATGAGCTATGTATCATCCCAAAGACTTTAATGCCTGTTTTGGAGCTGTTTCTCAACGATCAGCAGATTAATTCAGCGTTTGGATAGTAGCAGTGTACCAGCTCTCCTCTTGAATTTGCACAGAATTTGGTGTAGATTAAACAAATAACTCTCAGTTAGATTCCAATTTCTATATGCTTTAAATGGTCTCCTTTCTGTGACCTTTTAGTCCTGTTGATATGATAGTTATGTGCTAGTTTACGTCTGTTAATAATTTGATCAATTTGTTGGCATTGCTTCTGTGCCAGGTATTCTGATTGCACTGCAATGCAACCAACAAATACGGTAGGCACACAAAGACTGAAAACTTAACCTCTAAATTCAAAATACAGGCATCTTGAGAAAATCAGACCAGGTGCAAACCTGCTTGGTAAAAGTAGTGGCACTGGATAACTTTCCCAGTCTTCTGGATATGATACTGGACTAAAATTGTCTCTGAATAATCGTCTACTATTGTTATCATGCAAAAGGAAGGAGCATTATCAAAGAGGAAAGGAACTGTTCACATTTCTGAGATTCACGTGGCAAAGGACAGGTACAGGATGGCACTAGAATGGAAGAGGTGGGAAAAGGCTCTAGTGATGAGGGGAAAACAGCCCTGCTTTGACAGGTAACAAAATTGCTGCTCCTGGACTTCCAGCACTCCCTTGCAAATAATCTCATGTAGAAATTAGAGGTGACAAGAGTGCAACGTGCATGCTGAAGGCTCCCACTGGCCCTCCACTACTACTATTAAAAACAATATTGTGTGCTTGAAATGAGACAATGGTGGTTGTGACTCATTAATTTCTTAAGAGAAATTTGTGCAGAATTTTTGATGGAATGTTTTTCCACTTTATAGGATCTGAATACATTACAGGCTTACAAAAATGCCAGTCCAATTAAAAATAACAAACATTTGCTGAAAATTCTTCCTTTGGATTTCTGAGACAGTAATTTAAAAATAATTAAGAACTCCACCACCTCTTTTCTGCAACACCACCGTTGCTTTTATTTCTGCAGTTCCTGAGGTATTCGGCTTTGAACCAGACTCATTTACTCAAAGACAGTGGACAGTTTTTATAACCTTTCCATATGTAATTTGACTCACTTGAGTAGGCCTCCATTTAAGGGGACTGTGGGTTTAGTACAAAGTACGTACTCTGGCAACAGTCTAGACCAGACTGACCAAAGGAGCTCATCAGACACTAACCAAATTTTACACACTAGTTTAAGAGAGTCATAAGGTATCTACTGATCCTGTGCTTGTCTGAAAGAGCTCTATAAAACACACACATTGATATAACTGCTAGCATGTCAGGCTAATTTTTTAATTATCCTTTGCTTTCCCATTAATCACCATTTCACAGGAAATCCATATTTTAAAGACCACTCAGACCAGTCTGGGGTTCACCTTTTTCTTTGTGCACACTGACATACTTCCTCTACACGCTGATAGCTATCATTCTCACTTCTACGGGTAGAATTGGGCCCTGAGGGACTCACATCATATAAAAAGCAATTCAGAGGCAAGTGGGTCAACCTTTCATGGCTCAACTTATTTTCACTAGAAATTGCAGCCACCTGGGATGAAAAGCACAACCCAAAACTAAAAAAAAAAAGTATATCTTTGGAGGGGGGAATTAAAGCAATGCTGTTGATACCTGATAAAACAGAGCCTCAGTTTTATGTTTTTCATTAAATTTTTTCAGCAGTTGGACTTTATTCAACTTGAAAGTTACAGCTGCTCATAACAGTGAAATTTTTTGATCCGAGGAATTAGACAGCTCTAGATATGAGTAACGAGAGGGACGCAGACATACATGTACAGGTCACTGGTCTCAATTCAACTCTGGTGGGCTCATTATCCTCTTACCAGTCTCTTTACCTTTCCACACCAGCTGCTTAGCTGTTTCATGACATCAAAGGGTATTTCTGATGGGCCCAAGTGACAAAAACGGGCACATTCGTCAGCCATCTCACTGGAGAGGCCAGGCGCGAAAGCCTGCCCTGGGAGCCACCCTGCTCCGCGGGACTTTCCCCTGTGATTGAAGAGGTGCTGAATCAGTCCCTAATTGGGGTTGGAGACCGAACTGCCCTTTCCGTGACCTCGCAGTGACAGAGCTGCCAAGCACCGAGTAAAGGCTTTTCCCACCGAGCAACCTCCAGAGCCCAGAATTCAATAGCCCAAAAGTCAATAACTGCTCACGGGGAGGGAGCCTGGCTGATGTGGCAGCCACAAACAGCCCTGCAACTGCTTTTAGAGACCCACTCTATACGGTCCTGCAGGAAAATTAATTTTGTCTTTACGCTTCCTAATGGAAGAAGCAGCAACATGACGTTACGTGAGCACTACTGCTTCTGACATCCGTGAAAGATGCATGTATGCAATGAAATACTGCTCTGAAAGCATTTAGCTCCCCGTGCATTGTGGAAATATGAATGTATTAATTTATACCAGAATACAGCCATCCTATTAAACCGTCAGAAATAGCTATATAGGAAGCAAGAAGAACTTGAAGAGATGCGGTGCCCAGAGAGCATCTGATTCTGCCATGTTTAATAGTGACATTTTAATTTCAGCCACACTGCTGAAACACATTACAGCAGAGCCACTGGGCGAGCCTGCCAAAGGCTGCCGGCTGATTCATGTTTACAGGGAACAAGCATGTCAACACTAACCAAATATTCTCTGATGACAAGGTTGCTTCAGACCCATACCAATCATTAATTTTTATCACCAATGAAGCAGTAGTTAAAGTTTTTTGGCAGGAGAGGCAATCGGGAGTCGCAGATCTGCAGCCCCCTCGGTGCATTGCCCTCCAAGCTCTATGGCTCTGATGTCCTCTCCATGTAGCATCATCCACAGCGAGCAAAAAAACAGGAGAAACTTCTTGAGTTCTTGAGTCTTGAGGCCATGGAGACCATTAAGTCACTTATTTTGATCCCTTCTGTAGACTTACGAGTCCTCTCCCCTCTTTTGAACCCAGCTACCTAGCTCCCAACAAACACCAACTACAGGATTGTACTTGCCCTTGCATTTCACAGATCCGTGCTCTGCTCGACAAAGAAAGTATGTTCACCTAATCCAGAGCTGGTAAATATTCATAGAAAGCAGGAATATATTGGGGGAAAAAAACTCCCTCAAAAACAGCTGAAGTAGCCTAAAATGGAAGAAGCAAGATTCTGATTTTGTATCTCTCTTTTGGGCACTTCACTGAGTTTTTCTGATCCAGACAAGCCGTGCCCTGAACAGCTAAATGCAGAGCAGGAGATATTCCAGCGCCTCGGTGCGTAAGGCAGGACTGGCTGTCACAGCAAATCCTGCAGCAGACCACGTCCACTCAGTCACACGCAAGTGAAGAGAAACACCAGGAGGAGCTTAAAAGGCTGCATGTAAATCTACAGGAAGTACTACATTTATCTTTTGGATTGACATAACTGTGTAGTCCATGATGATCAGCTAAATTCACATAGGACCTTAAGCATATGGTTATTTTCTATGTTCAGATTCAATATTTTAAAACTCTATTTGGTGCTTTAGTATGTATCTCATTTTAAAATATGTGGCGAATGAAGCAACAAAAGGGTAAAAATCTGCCACTGTGTTGTACTGCTGCTGTCACACTCAGGATGTAGCAACAACGCTGGCTTAAGGAAAATATTAATATATCAACTGCTTTTGCATTTTTCATATGGATAAAACAGTCACCTCTCCTTAAATCAAGCAGGATTTGATTTTTTTTTTTCTTTTGTGGAGAACACAATCAGCTGAGAATTGCACAGCATCCTTTCTGAGCTTCTTATGAGAAACAAACAGAGGGAAACTCATACATTTCAGAGGAAGCTATTGTTGGTTACTCTCATTTAATCATACAGAGAAAGAAACACTTTAGTGAACAAGGTCAAAAGTGTAATTTCACTGCTGTCATGGGTCTATTGGGATTCTGGTGTTCAAAACAAAGAGGCATCTCCTACCGTTACGAGTATTCAGGGGACACCCTGATTCCATTACACACTTTTCCAGCCCAAAATGATTTGAAACGCAACATTAAACTGCACATTTCTACATCAGAGGATAAAAATCTGGTAAAGGTGACAAAGAGAGACTGTTCGGAAACCCCTTTTTG